TAAAAGGTTAAAAGTTAAAATATAAAAAAGTTAGGGTTAAAAGTTAAAATATAAAAAAATTAAAAATTAAAATATTAAATTTTGTCATTTAGTTATTTTTTTTTTCGTCTTTTAATATGGGGGAGGGGGTTGTATAAAAATTGTTGGAGGGGGTGGTGTTAGAAAACCCCATTTTTTAAGGAAATTTCTTCCTAATGCTGATTTTAAAATTCAATTTTTTATTATTAAAAAACTAATTAAAATAGCTATTTTTTAGTTTTTAATTAATCTCTTATATGTTTCTTTTTCAATATTTAAAAAATATTGTTATCTCTGTAAATAGCAACTCATCAACTTGTGGAGTAATTTAAATGTTAAAAAAGTTTCTAAACATGGTCTGCAAATACAGAAACCAAATCTGTAAATTAGTCCTAGCAAGTGGCGGAAGTGCCACTTGCGGAAATTTATCTAATTTTACAGATTTGATGCATGCACTTGTGAACCATGTTCAGATAACTTTTTCTACATTTTGACTTATCCGCAAATTGAGGAGATGACGGGGGTGGTAATATTTTTGAAATTTGGAAAGAGAAGGCGCACTTTGCACTTCGCACGCCGCATCGGAGCTTTGCCCCGAGCTCCGAGTATCTTTTTGGTACAAAATCGAGAGGAGAAGAAAAATAAACTGGTTTTATTTTAAAACAAATCGGTTTATGACTTGGTCTTCCACGTTTTTAGAGATAATGGCCAGTTGAGAAATATCCTCGTCATTATCTGCGATTTGTGAGGATTTCGTGGAACAATAGTAGGCTTCAACCAATATATAAACTGGGTTGAAGCCAGTTCGAAAAACACAAGAAAAAAAACCAGTCTTTTCTCTCCTCCGATTTCTGTTTTCGAGTCCTTTTTCTCTCTACCGTTTTTTCTACATCCACCGTGTTCTATATTCGTTATTGATCGTTGTTCATAGACGAATCGAATACTGCATCAAATCCTGGAGCTTTGCGACTAGCAGACTCACAGCGTGAGTAGATTGGTCGTATAAAACCTTAAAGGACAGGTTTTACCGTGCAGATTACAATACAAATCGACAATTTAATCAGGTTGGTTTTATATTTTACGCATTGTATTTAATTTTCTGTTCACTAAGTGAACAACTCTGCTTCTACTCCTTTCTTTCATTGAATCTATCGCGAATGATAGATTCAATCTGTATGATTTGACACTTTGTTGAGGTGTTGGTGGTTCTGAATACTAAAAGGTCTAATTTTTGTTCGTTATATAATTAAAGTTTTTATAAATAATAAAACTTTATTTTGTTTTCATCTATCTTATTGGAATATTTTTCAACAGGAAGTAGATACTCCAAACAGAAACCCATCTGGAAAATCTGGTCTTCTGTATGAATGAACGGGCAGTCTATTGAATCCACTAGGAACAGACCCAAGAAGATTTATTATCGTTGTAAGAAGATGTGGAACTCAGAGATCAGTCTCCAAAAGAGCCCGTAAAGAGAAAGAGTACTCCAACTTAATACGCTTCCTCCAATGGACGCTAGATGGATACAGATTGTCCCAAAGTGTCGAGAGGGGGTTAGCTAGAGTGTTGGATCCCTAAAATGGTAGACCTTCTTGGCTATGATACCATGTAAGAAGATGTGGAACTCCCAGATCACTCTCTAAAAGATCCCTTAAAGAGAAAAAGGATGTTCCAATATATATATACGGAAGAAATGGTCTAAGTCTAGTAGATGTGTGACTCCAACTTAACAGTTACTGACAATCGTGTTGGTTGTTAATATTGGAAATTTGGAACAAAGCTAAACCTTAATCTTCTAGTACGCTATATCTTTTACCCTTGTCATCTTAAACTTGACAAAGTATCAGCAAGATTCAGATATAACAAACGAAGAAAGCCAGTGTAAAGTTTTACAATTTTAAGGGTATGAAACATGACATTCGAGCAATCTTCGAACTACAATGCCATTACCGAGTCTGGTTCAATAAAAAAAGATTCTAAATGATATAAGGTAATAGGGTTAGGTTCAGAGGAAAACCGTAAAAAAATGAAAAACTAAGGAACGCTCTAGTAACTATTCATTTGTACAGTATGCATATGTGCATACAAGTAATTTGTAAGTAACTTTTCCAGTATGCACATGTGTATACAAGTAATGTTGTTTGTTTACCTCTTAATAGTTCCACTAAGAGGCAACATCTGAATCGTTAAAGAGGTAAATTTTGTTTGGCAAAAAAAAAAAAAAGTCTGCCTCTTAATGGTTCTAAAATTCTCTGAATAATTTTGTATCCTGGATCTCCCTTAACTATTAAGAACTCTAATTTCATCGTACACAATTACCAAACAATTATACTTCATTTTGCACTATATCATGAGAGCTTCTTAATTATTCTGATCACTTAATCATTCTGCACCAAATCATTCAGCAATTGTCAAACAAAGTAACTTTTCCAGTATACACATGTGCATAACATGCACACTTGCATAGAAACCAGAAAACATCTTTGATTACTTGTATACACATGTGCATACCTTACAGATGAACGGTTATTAGGGTGTTCCTCAGTTTTTCATTTTTTTTTAGGTTTTTCCCCTAAACCTCACTCACCCAAGGGAATACAAGTCAAAAGCAATATAAGATTATATGATAATTAACAAATATAACATAAAAAACCAAATGAATCTTATAGATCATGAATCATGGGTACATAGGAAAGTGATAGAATGATACAATAAGCCAAAGGCCAATTATTGGTCTGAATGCAGACAGACTATCAATGAATGAGAGAAGTGGATCAATAATCCATTCTTGAAATGGTTCAATTACATGAACAGAAAACAGAACAGCAGAAGGAGGAAGAATTACTAACATGGCATACAAGCTTCTAGCATAAAAGTCTTCTATGCATCTGCTTTTTCAAGCATCGTATCGTCCTGAAATGACCTTTCGTGTCTTAATGCTTCCTTACCAATAACATAGCTGCTGTTCGTTAAGAAACTCTTATACCATCGTGCAGAAAGCTTGGGAATCCGAGTTAGCTTTTGACGGTCAACATAGTGTAACCCGAACCTCAAATTGTAACCTTGCAGCCATTCGTAGCTATCCATCAATGACCACACGAAATATCCGCGCACATCTGCTCCCCCTCTATCGTTTAAAACAACAATTTTTCAAACAATCAGTAACGGTTTTGTTTCCTCCATTTGGTGTAGAGCAAAATGCATCAAAAAGCAAAGAAGTTTGCCTTAGTTCTTACTTAGTACAACACTTAGTTCTTATGTTTTACCCAGTTTGACCGTTGCTAATCTTGTAACATTTGATGACGTGGATGTCAAGTTTATCATCCATTTCGTCATAACCCTTTCGTAAACAGGAACCCACGTCATCAAATGTTACAAGATCGACAGATTACCTTGAAACTTTGTCACATCGATTGAGAAAAGCATTCTTTGTTACACTAAAAAGGAAATAAACCAAACTTTGTTGCATTTTGTTGCATTCATTCTCATGTTAAGTCCAAGTATTGAAAGATTGTAGAATGAACCTGATAGATCTGGCTAAAGAAGCAAGGTATGCTGTGTGAAATTCAATTCGTTTGACGTCATTCACAAGCTCATCGATTCGTTCCTCCTGCATGACGGGTGAAGAATACCCTGCAACAGAATTATAAATACGGGGGCATGGTTTAACAACATATTCATAATTTGTTTGATCTGAAAATTGTGACACTTACCATTTTCAGTAATAATCATGGGTTTATTATTGTACCGAATCTTGATACAATTAACAATCTCCTCCATGCCTCTAGGAACAACATATAAGCCTTCTAACCCCGTCTGTTCGTGCATTGAAGATAAACGCCTTTATTATCAAATAAAAAGAAGAAACGTGTAGGGGGTATTTGGGATTGCTTATTTGAAGCAACTTATGCTTTTCTACAAAAGCACTTATCAACTTATTATAAGTCAGAAGGGTTTAACTTCTTTAAAAACTTCTTATTACCGGTTTGGCACCGGTATAAGTTGTTTATCCAAACACTCAAAAGTGCTTATTACCAGTACCACACCGAAATAAGTCAAGACGTTTTTATAAGCAATCCCAAACACCCCATCTTGGGTGAAAAGTTGAGCCAAAAAATGTAATTTCCTACAAGTTCACCGATTGGCACACCACTGCGCTCTCCAGTAGTGTCTAGAAAACCTTGGATTGCACGATCAGCAGTTGGAGAGCAACTAGAGTTGGTACAATCCTTGGTATATGTAGTCGTGTAATGGTTGATGCCAATAAAATCAATACTGTTCTTCACTAAATTTTTTTCGTCGACAGAGAAACTCGGTAATGCACTTCCAAGGTATTCTTGCATTTCTTCAGGATATTCTCCAAATATTAAGGGATCAAGTGACCTGTTTGAGGATAAGTAGTTGAAGGAAGATCATATATGTTAGAATATGTGAAACCCCAGTGGAAAACCCCCAAAAAAAATGAAAAACCGAGTATCCTGCCAACCATTGATCTAGACGGTATGCACTGTGTATGTAAGTAATTGAAGTTGTTTGTTGGTTTTTACGCACGTGTGCATGTTACACGTTCATGCATGCAAGACAAATTGTCTACAAATTAATTGTATGCACATGTGCATACTGTCCAGATAAACGGTTACCAGGGTGTTTCTCAGTTTTTCATTTTCTACGGTTTTTCCCTTAAACCTGACCCTATATATATAGGTTTTGAAGGTCTATGTCTAGGCAATGTAGGACTCCAACACGCACCCTTGAGGGGAGGGTAAACGGAGGCGAAAGAGTTTGTTGAGTCCCTAGGTGGTGCTAGACCCAGCTATGAACCATGATAGAATATAGGAAACTCCATTAAATTACCCTCCAAAAGAGCCCTAACAGAAAGAGGGAAGGTCCCAACATATATATATATATATATATATATATATATATAGGTTTTGATGGTCCGTGTCTAGCCGATGTAGGACTCTAATAATATCATATATAGTTTTCTCTCTGTTTTCTTTGTTTGCTAACTAAGTTATGAGACAGGCTACACATTCAAAAATCTTACCAGCCAATATTGAAAGCAAAGGCCCTTTTGGCAGCATTGCGATCAAGCTCACTCTCAGTTAATGGTTCGAACATGTCACAATGTAGAGCAAGACCAATCGATCCACCTTGTTTACTCTGCACAGAGAAATTCAAAGACTATGAACGGTATTTTTCTTAACCAATATGCAAAAGTACATTAGTCCAACAATGCCAATAGATTGGGGTTTGAAGATAGAGTTAAAAGTTAGTTGATTGCCTGAAACTTCCGACGGTATAGCTTCGCTGCCACGCCATGGGCCAGTAACATGTTGTGCATAGCAATGAGAGGCTCGACATCCGAATTTCCAGCAAGACAGTTGCCAAAAGGCTCTGAACAACGACTAGGGGGGAAAATCCCCGTTCCATAAGCATATTGTGTTACTAGGTTAGGTTCATTGATTGTGATCCAATACTTCACTCGGTCTCCAAACGACTTGAAACAAATTTCTGCCATATGTACAAAGTCGTCCCTGCCAGTACGATACATAATACGCCTGATAAGCTAACTAAAAAGCAGAGCAGGAGGAATTGATATCAGGGTCAAAATGGCATGGTGGACATACTTCATTTCAGCATTGAGCCAAGACCCATATCTCTCTTCAAGTTCATGAGGAAAATCGCCATGGTAAAGCGTCACAAATGGCTCGATTCCTGTATCATTTTAATCGACAGTCATGAATCAAGCTTTATTCCGCAGCAGAAAGAAGGTGCTGAGAATGAACGGAGCACACTCACTTCCCACAAAAAATTTATACCAGCTTTTGTGAATTCATGCATGAATCTTGAACTTGAAACTGGCGGTAAAATTATATTCAAATTTCAAAGATCAGATGTAGTATTTAACTTTCATCCCATCACACCTTTGAGAATCAGATTGTCTATTATCTTGTTATAGAACATGATGCCAGCAGGATTAACTTCACCAAACCTTCCTCCTGGTAATTGGAAGCACAAAAAGGTAAGCATAGTCCAAAAAGATATTGGAAACAAGAAAGGGATGGTATAGCATATAATACGTGGAAGAATTCTAGCCCATGAAATCGAAAATCTGTAAACTTTAAGACCAAGGGAATGCATCATCTCAATATCTTCCTGGATTAAAGAAACATAAGTAATAAATCAAGATTCAAATCCACAAACTGTTGTTTGATATAAGCAAATTAGATATATGAGCAGTAGTTGAACCAAAAAGTGGTGATAATGATCATCTGCAATATCTCCATTCTCTCCATTTTCTCCACAACCTAATAACAATGGCAGCGATAGATTAGTCATCAGTAGAATTCGAAAGCAGTTCGTCCTACAAACAGACAATTGATAATACTAACCTACAGAATGACAAAATACATCCCAGTTGCTGAGGGATTTACCATCTTCAAGATAGGCTCCTTCAACCTGCAAAATGCCATGAGGTAAGTGATATATATATATATATATGTGTGTGTGTGTGTGTGTGTGTGTGTGTGATAATGAGGAAGAAAGTGAAAGAAAAAGAGGGAGATGGACTTGGTATGCAGAACTGGCTGCTCCAAAGAGAAACCCGGGTGGAAAATCGGATATTTTGATATGGGGATCTTCTTTTTCGGGCAGTTTGACTACCCCACCATTGTTGGAGGCTTCAAGAAGAAGAGCAGAAGCAGAAATGAGAAAGAAGAAGAGATAAATGGTGGGTGATTTCAGTTTCATAATGGAACAAAGGAGGGAAACTTTATCTTATTCTTGGCTCGACAGAATTTTATTATGGGTTACTTTTTATCTGCTAAAAACAAACAATGATTCATAGACAGCACATTGTGCTTTGTTTACATTAAGTAGAAAAAAGACGTCCTACCAATAAAAGATGGTTACGGAAAATGGCGGCTCACCAATTAAGACCGTGTCATGGTCAAGTTAACCAAAGATATTTTCAACAAAAGATTCATCACGTGCTGCTATATGCAATTTTTAAGAGAAATTAATTAAAGTAGTTTGTGGTTTCATTTCACCTTTCCTCGTTCCTCTCCCAAAATCACAAAAATGTCTACCATCTCCATAGGTGACAATTCTGCAATTTACAGAAGGGTCAAAGTATAAAAAATAAAGTTTTTGAACCGATCCGTAAATGTAAGGACCAAATCTGTAAAATAGATATAGGTTGTCAGTTGAGACTAATTTATAAATTTTGTTCATGTACTTCAAAAAAAATTCTTTTTACACTTTGACCTTCCACAAATTCACAAATTGAGAGGGTGTCATTTGCGGACATACTAACATTTTTGAAATATTAGGCAGGAAAATGGCCAAGAGACAAAACCAACATGTAAAATGACTATTTTAATTAATCTGCCACTTATATAATGTTAAATACAACCATGAATTTCTTCCTCACACAACAAGATCAATAACTATTTTTTATATTCTCAGTGCATTAATTGACTTGATTTTGACATAAACTAGGATACAAATAGCATTTATGGATGACCAATTCAAGTCATGCATTTAAAAAAATAGGTCTTAATATTGACATCGATGTATCAAAAAAATTAATTTGGTAGGACGCACGGGGTGTATCATTTTCATCCTTCAATAAAATTGATGAACAACTTGTTTATTTGTATATGAACTGCATAAAAAAAATTCAAAAAGGACTTTTCTCTAAAATTATATAATTTTTAACATTCAAAAATAATAATACAGAAAGGGGCGAAGTGTAAAAACAATAAAGTCCAGGGGGGTAAGGCAGCAGGACCCTCAAACTTGAGGTACCTGTTTGCAAGAAAACCAAAAACCTTGATCTGGATATGGTGTTTACCTGCAACGTATAGCAGCCATACGAAACGATTAAGGCCACGATTTCGTGCCTCTTACACCAAATCCCTAGCATATAATTGTTCCATGCTTCCTAGATCCATTACTCCTCAAACCACTTCAACAAAAATCAATAGAGAAATCGAAGAAGATAGCTCTCGGTATACGATTTTCGGATTTTTCGATGATTCAAGGTAAGATACTCAACCATATCTTGTAAGTTTTATGTCTATGGCTTCGTCTGTATGTTTACTATCGAACCAGCAATAGCTATTCGAGCTCCGATTTGAACCAAATCGCTGTTACGATGTGCATTTTGATATAAATCCGTAACTTCAATCTAGATATTAGGGAGCTATGCTTAACGAAACCTCGTGATTCTTGAACCAAAATGTTGATGATAAGGTTACTTACGAAGTAATGCTAAAAAGAACGAACGAAAAACGACGATCAAATGAGCAATTTCAACCAAAAAAACGCGAAAACGGCGAGATTTCAAGCTGATGGGTTGTTTACTTTTCTAGGTGGAAAATGGGCCGGGTCATGGGATCCGGATTGCTTCTGATTCCATACATGATACAACTGTATAAAATAACAATTTATTTTCATAAAAATTTTATTATTATAAAATCATTTTATTTTTTTATTATATCAATGTAATTTCAAATTATTTTTTGATAAAACATTGTATTTTGAAAAATCTACCTATTTTATTAATTGATAACTTGTTATCATATTAACATACATAATTGTATATTAACTAATATATGTAAAAAAATATGTTTCTTTTTTAATAAATTACACTATTATAATCGTTTTGTCAATGCCTTCAAAATAAGTTCAGTATTAAATATTTTTGAATTTAAACATATTACTATACATCATAAATACTAGGAAATTATTTTAAAAAAATTATAGTGCTAAATCTATTTAGAATTTTATATTGTATATAAATAGAAATAAATAAAATTTATATTGTATACAAATATAAATAATTTTTTTATCAAAGTTATGTAATGAAAATAATAATCACAAAGGTTGTTTTTAATATATTTTAACCTTAAAAATATAATTAAATTTATAATATTTTTAATTAATTAATAAGATTAGCATATAAAATAGAAAACAAAGAGGTAAAAAGAATAATAGAAAAACATCAAAAAAAATGGGTTAAAATAATAAATATATGGGTTAAAATTAAAACCATGAAAAGGGTTGAAAATTAAATAAAATTGTACTATTTTTAGTTTTTTTTATATTTCAGTGTACAGGACAATACGGGGGTATGAAAAACTGATAGATGTTTATAGAAGAACAGATATAATTTTCTGTCCAAAGAAAAGTGTTTTAAGATACTCAACATCTTTTGTGGGTTATTATGTAGGTTGACGATTTGTGATCAACATATTGATTATACGTAATCTGATTTAATTAGATATATGATAATTGTAGCGTGTTGTTTTATATTAAGTTATTGACTTTATATTGTGTGAAGAGACGTGATGTTGATTGTATGAAAAATGTTTTGTTACATACATGTGGATATATTTGCAGATTTGGCATATATATATATATATATATATATATCCAGATGGAGGTTCAAATGAGAACCTTTGTAATTTACGAGGATACGAGAACAACCTCTAAGTCAAGAATTGTGTTTAGAATCACATTTTAAGAGAAGTTAAAATATTTTCTCAAACTTAAATAAACAGTAAAACAATTTCAAATTTTTTGAAGATGTGGAAGGGTAAAATTGGAAATTGATATCCTAAAATTTAAATAACACGATGTAGAGTATTCAGATCATCTGGGTAGTGATAATCATCATCATCGACCTTGGGTTATCATAAATAGCACAACGATAGCGTACATTCCTGTTCGAAGGCGAAACTGAAAACAAGGAAGAAACCGAGTTAGGGCAAGCGTATACTCTTGTTCGAAGGCGTTGAGGAAGAAGATCGTACAGTCTATTCTGAATGTATCGAGGAAGAAGATCAAAAGTATGTGTCTAATAACACAGCTTGATCACATATTATGACACTTCGATTAGGATTCGATAGATGTCTGTAATCAATTAGGGCTTCAATCTATTAGAGATTCGATGAGAGAATGTCTATCACAGACTTATCACAGTTAAGGGCGTGGTCGAGAAATTGAACAAGCAAAATATCACAGCTCAAAAGTTGATTATCACAGTGTAGTTAAAGGCAAAATCGGTTAATATATAATGTATGCAATTGCCAGATTGCTTTCTTATCACATGATTATCACAGTGTAGTTAGGACAAAATTGATTAATGTATAATGTAAAAAATGGCCAAAATACTTGCCTATCACATGATTATTACAACTCACTTATTCATTGATCTGTGCAGAAATATTTGGATGAGATCGATACTATCCAACTCAGTTGCTTGCTTATCTCGGTGTAAATTGATATCACGAGATCGACGTAGATAAAGAAAACGATGGGGATGGGGACTGAGTTTGACGTGATCAGTTCCAACATAAAATCATGTGATAATCACAATTAATTAAAATAATGTATAATTATATAAAAAATATCTAATTACATTACTACCCTCAGTGATATATTTTTATTTATTATAATTTAAAGAGTTAGTTAAAAAAAGTTAGAGGCCTGCAACTGTTCTCGCATTTTCGTAAATCACAGAGGTTCTCGTTTGAACTCTTCCCTATATTAAGGTTAGCTTAGGCGTATTTTGATTTAACTAGATATATGATAATTGTAACGTGTTGTTTTGTATTAAGTTATTGACTTTATATAATGTGAACACATGTGATGTTGATCGCATGAAAAGTGTTTCTTATATACATGTGGATATATTTGCAATTTTTTTTGGGGGGAGGGGGGTTAGGTTCACGTGAGATCAAAGGTTTTTCGTGAGACCCGTAAGACCAATTTATGTCCATTGATCAACTTTATAAGTTAATGATTTAATGGTCTAAATTTGTCATTCTAAAAAAATTAATTAAATATTTTGATTAGTTGTCAAAAATAGAATTACTATATTACCCTTTTAGCTTATTAAGAAATATCATTAAATATTTCAAACGAGTGGTGCACATTAAATCTTGCAGTTACTATAAACTAATCAGTTCACCTTTTAAATAATATTATTTACAAATAAGGACCATGTACCTCTATTGGTCAAACTTATCCTGAATGACTTGGATTTTGCATCTGAATGTATAATGTGAACATATCACACGCATTATCCACAAATAAGCACCATGTACCTCTATTGGTCAAACTTTTTGCATCTGGATATATATATATATATATATATATATATATATACATATAAAACAAAATATAAACCTTATAATAAAGATAAATATGTTAAAAAACCACAAACAAGAAAATGTAAATATTTTATTTGCGGCGATGAAAAACATTTAGCTAATAAATGTCCCAATAAAAATAAAAATATAGAACGAAGTAATCTTATAGAACAAATAGGAGAATATAATTTATATATATATATATGGTATATTTCTTTTACAACCTTGTGCATTTGTACAACCTTTGCAACTCAATTAATTGAGATATTTATAGAAATGATTGGAGTTCATTTATTATGATTTGAATATTTATGGAATATGAATACAGTTTATTAATTATGATTAATACTTTATATTAAGAAACAATTAATTGAT